CAGCAGGAATGCTCCTTGGAAGCAAGAATGGCCAGACTTCCTCTCACCTACTTTGGTCATGTTATCAGAAGGGACCATTCCCTGGAGAAGGATGTCATGCTTGGTAAGGTGGAGGCTCCACGAAAGAGAGGAAAGCCCTCAACGTGATGAGATTGACACAGTGGCTGCTGCAATGGGCTCAATATTGCAAGGATCTTGGAGCTCATGCAGGACCGGGCAGTGTTTCCTTCTGTTGTGCATAGGGTCGCTATGAATTGGAGATGACTGGACGGCACCTAACAACAACGACAACAACAACTCCTCAGTGGGAACATCGGCCGCCATTCACCTTGTACTCTCGTCATCCTTTCCTCTTTTCTGAGAGGTGTTGTTGCTGTTGTTAAGTGCCGTCGAGTCGTTTCGGACTCATAGCGACCCCATGCACAGCAGAACAAAACACTGCCCGAAACACTGAACGAAACACTGCGGGGTGCAGACTGGGGTAGCAAGGTCCTCCTGGGTTTGATATCCCAGTGAACAGGTATCATCAATTCCCCTCCCTCTCTCTCCTGGGTCTCTGAGAGGTACCTATTCTTATTTCCATTTTGGAGAAGAGGATCTCCAGAGGTTGAAAGGTTAGTTAGTGCTTGACCATGATCCAGCATAGGGGGCGCGTGGTTTGACTCAAAAAGGTGCCTACACATCCTCCCACTAACTTAATTAAGGATATTTCCTCATTACCATTTTTAAGGCTTAGCTATCTAAGTTCAAAGTTTCCTTCCAGTTACAGGGCAGCTAGGATGAGGATTTGGTAAACCAGAGCACAGCAAACCACATTAGGAACGAGGTGGCTGCTCCGAAAGGACGTAATTAGAATGTGATTGTCTTTTAAGGACAACGTTTCAAGACTCAGGAAGACGTCGTGGGTAGATTCAGCACATTAATTTCGTTCATAAGCAGTAATAATGGAATGTGGGACGGAGGGAACAAGGGAGAGCGGGTTCTACTGGACACCCCCAGCCCACGATGACAGTAGTTTTTCCCGGCAGAGGTAAGGTCCGTCCAACACGCTAGAGTGTAAGGAAAGGTCTGCCCCAACCAGAAGGAGGGCGAGGCAAAGGTCTTCAGCCCTCAGTCGGTGCGGAAAACGTAGCCAAAGACCCCAACACGAGAAGAGGCCGGGAGTCGCCCCGCCCAGCCCTGGCAACCCGGAAGTGAAAGAGAGCGCACTCTTTTGGCGCTGTTCGACCTCTCTGCGCGGTGGTGCCTTTCTCGCCGGATTTGCGACAGCAGCAGCGGGGTTAAGGTGGTGGAGCTTGAGGACATGGAGGGGCCGCCGGCCGTCGCGGACGGGGGCGTTTCCCTGCACAACTTTAGCGCAAGGTTGTGGGAGCAGCTTGTCCACTTTCACGTTATGCGGCTGACGGACTCTATCTTCCTGTGGGTGGGAGCCACTCCGCATTTGCGCAATCTCGCCGTGGCCATGTGCAACCGCTACGTGAGTGCAGACAGGAGAGGGGCGGGGCCGGTGGACGAGCTGGGGGTGTGGGGACGGTGTGTAAGGCCGGTAGGGGCGGAAACCGTAGGCTGGAGTCCGCACTGGGTGTGGAAGGGTGTGCTGGGAGTGAGAGAAAGAGGGTGCGGGACGTGTGAGTGAGGGACCGGAAGGGGGTGGGCGCAGGGCCGCCGGAGGGGCGGGATCAGAGCGTGTTTTGAGTGTGGGATAGGGGTGGGGGTGGGGGTTGCGGGGCTTAAAAATTTCTGAAAGCAGGGGTCTAGGGCTTGAGAGGAAGTGCTGGGTGTGGAGGGAGCGCGGGGGAGCGGGTAGGACGGGCGGAGGCGGGGTGCAGACTGGGGTAGCAAGGTCCTCTTGGGTTTGATAGCTGAGTGAACAGGTATCATCAATTCCCCTCACTCTCTTTCATGGGTCTGCTGAGTCCTCGGGGCAGCCAGCGTCTGTGGCTGTCTTTAGGAAGCCCGAGCATCCCTGCGCCTCCGCCCATTAGGTGATGGAGGTCGGGCCCCGTCCCTCCTGGTGGGACTGTAGGAGCTTTTCTCCTTTTCTGGCCTTCCAGTGCTAGTTCCCCTCTTTTCCCGTCTGTGTAGGATGGAATGCCCCAGAACGTCATCCTTCGGCTTTGTTTTCTTCTGGTGCACTTACTACTTGGAGATACTGCCTCTTAGCTTTCATAACATTCTATATTTTCACCTACACTTATTACATATCTAATACAGATATCTTTTCGGAACTTTAGACTTATGTGTCTTCACTGGGATGTCTAATAGGCATCTCACACTTTACATGTCAAGATCAGACTCTTGATCTTCTCCCCCAAAACCAGCTCCTCTCACAGCCCCATCTCTGGGTGTTCAGGGTAAAACGTAGTCATCCTTGATCCCTCTTTCTCTCACACTCTGTGTGCCATATGTTGGTGAATCTATAAACACTGTTTCCAGTCAGAGGTCCCTGGGTGGTGCTGAATGTTTGTGTTGGGCTACTAACTTACAAGTTGGCAGTTTGAACCCACCCCATGGCACCACAGAAGAAAGATGTGGGAACCTGCTTGTGTAAATCCAAGAGAACTCTTCAGAACAGGTCTATACTGTAATACATGGGATTGCCATGAATTGAAATCAACACCAGAGTGATAGACTGCACTGTCAATCAAAACATACCTGGAATCCAATCATCCATCACCTCCTTTATTTCTTCCACCCTGAGCCAGGCTTCCTTTATCCTGGCTCCTTTCCTTGCTTCCCCCTTTGCAAAAAGGGCATGGAGGAGGCGTCCTCTGACCTCTTCTAACTTCAGGAGGAGGAGACAGAAGCACCATCAGCCTGAGACTGCTTCCTATGGGGCAGAGGTTAGACATGCTGTCACTGGCCAACCTTTCTACTGGGTCTGTGATCAACTAACTGTTCCTCCCACAGCACTCTCTACTACTCTCCTGGGTTCAGTAATTCATTGCAGAGGCCACACGGAACTCACAGACAATACTCAAGATTATGGGAGTTTATTAGGGAAGTAATAGATTACAATTCACATTCAGGAACACTCAGGATACAGTTCTTTTATCAGGACAGCCTCCCCTCGGCCATGCCAGGAGGCATGCCTCTCTTTGGTCCTGGGCTTGTCAGCCCTGCTTGGGCAAATGTTACAAAGGTCTTTTAACTCTGCTGATAGGTGCATCCCACTCCACCAGCAAGTCTCCTGCCTGAAGGCACTCATCTTTTGCTCTGTGGGCCAGCAACCTTACCGCTCCATCTCATGCTTATCTCTTGGTTCTGCTGCCTCTGCTGCTGCTGTTGTCTCTCTGCACAGGAATCTCCGGTCCAAGGACGTGCTCCACTCCTGGCTTCTATCTTGATGGTAGTGAGATCTCCCCTTTCCATCTCTGGGGTGGATTATTTTAAGCCTAGTGGAATGGCAAAACTGACCGATTCCCGTGTTAGCATTCCATATACCTTATTTCCATGGCCCTTTCCCCGCAAGGGTGTCATGCAACGTACCTTATTTACATTATTAACAAGCTATCCAGTCCCCTTGGTGGGCCACAAGCACCTCACATTTACATAGTTCCACCCAGTCATCTGGTGGGAGTCACAAAGACCACAGCTAGAAGAGCCATATTAAATAATTTACTTTAAGAACAAACTCAGAGTGCAATCCAGGGACTTTACCTCAAGGCCTTATGTGACCTGACTGCCTGTTGCCAGATCTTATCTTCCTTACACACTCTTGCCTCTTCGCTGTTAATGGCATATCCAGCATGCCCTACTCGCTTTCCCTTCTTCACTGTATTGTCTGTTTTCTCTTACTGGGATATGTATGTCATGATAACCATGAGATTTGCCTGTTTTATTTTTGTATTCTCAGAGCCTGACACATGGAAGCTGCTCATGAAATAATTGTTGAATGAATGAGTGAGGCTCCCCACCCCCTTGTTGCTCATAGTATATAGGGGAAGACCAGTACCCAAAAGCCAGTCAGACAGTAGCATTGTAATCTCTGAGGGGTCACCAGGGGTCAGTGAGAAATGAGAAGAGTGAGCCTTTCATTTCACAGTACTTTTCTTACAGAGAAAGGCTTCTAGAAGGAGAAAGCATTTGAATTAGGACACTGTATTCCTCTTTTGCTTCTCATTTCCTCTTCTGTGGGGGGCTCCCCCCCACCCCCCATTTGTGGTGGGTACTGGCAGGTGGTCCTTTGAGCATGTGTTATTTCCATGCGTCTTTTCATTCACGGAGTGAGTGAATGGGCTGTGGTGATGGGCAGGGTTGTGGACATGGAGGTGTGGCACCCACCTCACATTCTTTTCTAGTCCTTAGGTTTTAGTAATAAACAGCAGATGAGGTCAAAGGCCACATTAGGCTGTATGGAGGCCCAAGGCTATTTAATAGTAAGACCACTCAGTTTCAGTGCCTTTGTGTCCTTTTGTGCTTTGGTGGCGTAGTGCCTAAGGCACTTGACTGCTAATCAGAAGGCTGGCAGTTCAAACCCACCAGCCACTCCTTGGAAGGAAAGTTGGGCAATCTACTTGCATAGTGATATTGCCTTGGAAACCCAGGGTGTTGCAATGAGTTGGATCTGACTCAATGACAGTGAGTTTGGTTTTTGGTTTTTTTGATTTGGGAGCGTAAGTAATGGCTTCTCTTATTTTAGTGTCTAATCACTTGGTAGTCATAGCTCCCAGTGGGATGTATTTTCCCAACTAGAATTTGAAAGTCCTTCAGGATCAGGCAGGAAACGGAGCAAGCCTCAGTTAATAGTCTACTTCCACTGACTGGTAATGTGTGACTGGATATTGGTGTGTATTATCTGTTTGTGTTCATGGTTTCAAGTCCTTTGAGTATATACCTAGGAGTGGGATTGCTGGGCCATATAGGAGCTCTGGTGGCATAATGCCTAAGTCATGTGACTGTTAACCAGAAGGCTGGAGGCTGAAACCCACCAGCCACTCTTCAGAAGAAAGATTGGGCAATCTACTTCTCTAGTGATACCAGGTCGGAAACCCAAGGAGGGGTCGCTATGAGTCGGATCTGACTTGGCAGCAGTGAGTCTTTTTTTTTTTAATAGTAATTCTGTGTTTAACTTTTTGAGGAACTGCTAAACTATCTTACACAGTGGCTGTGCCATTTTGTATTTCCACCAGCAATGCACAAGAGTTCCAGTTTCTCCACATCCTCACTAGCATTTGTTGTTTCTGTTTATCTGATAATAGCCATCTTCAGACCAAACCAAACCAAACTCATAATAACCATCTTCAAACCAAACCAAACCAAACTCATTGCCATTGAGTCTATTCTGACTCATAGCGACCCCTTTCGAGTTTCTAAGGCTATTAATCTTTACGGAAACAGCCTACCTCTTCTTTCTTCCACAGGGCAGCTCCTGGATTCAAACCAGTGGCCTTTTGGTTAACAGCCAAATGTCTTAACCACTATACCACCAGAGCTCTTTAATAGCCATCCTAGTGGGTGTAAAGTAGTATTTTGTGAATCTGATAGTGTAGTGACTAAGGCATCTGACTGCTAACCAGAAGGCTGGTGGTTCAAACCCACCAGCCACTCCTCAGAAGGAAGGTTGGGCAATCTACTTCCGTAGTGATACTGCCTCGGAAACCCAAGGAGGGGTTGCTATGAGTCAGGTCCAACTTGACAGCACATAACAACAACAACGCCTAATGATGTTGAGCATCTTTTTATGTGCTTGTTGGCCATTTGTATGTCTTCTTTTGTGTAATGTCTATTCAAGTCCTTTGCTAGTTTTTTGATTAGGTTGTTTGTCTTTCAGTTGTTGAGTTGTAGTTTTTTTTTTTAATTGTTGTAAGATTTCTTTTATTCATTTAATTTATTGTTGAGAACATGTACAGTAAAACATACACCATTTCAACTATTTCTCCATGTACAATCATTGACATTGATTATATTCTTAATTGTGCACAACCATTCTCATCCTCCTTTTTCGAATTGTTTTCACTTATTAATATAAACTCACTGCCTCCAAAGTTTCCTATCTAATCTTAGGAGTTGATATTGTCAGTTTGATTTCATGTCAGTAGTTCTTAAAAGAGCACAATGCTTTGTTTTGACTACACAAAGAAATCTGTTGTGAATGAAGTACAGCCATAATGCTCCTTAGAAGTGAGAATTGGTGAGACTTTGCCTCTCATAACTTTGCTCATGTTGTCTGGAGGATATCATGCTTGGTGAAGTAGAGGGTGAGTGAAAAAGGAACATCCTCAATGAGATGAATTGACACAGTGGCTGCAGCAATGGGCTCAACCACAGCAACATTATGAGGATGGTGTGTGACTGGGAAGTATTTTGTTCTTTTGTACATAGGGTCACTATGAATCGGAACCAACTTGATAGTACCTAACAGCAACAACATTGTTTGATTTAGGAGTCCTGGTGGCGTGGTTTGTTAAGCATGTGGCTGCTAACCGAAAGGTCGACGGTGTGAACCCACCATTCGTTCCCCAGAAGAAAGATGTGGCAATCTGCTTCTGTAAAGATTTCAGCGTTGGAAACCCTACGAGGCAGTTCTACTCTATTGCTATAGGGTTACTATGAGTTAGAGTTGACTTGATGGTAATTTTTTTGATTGGTTGGTTTTAGAAGATTTCAGGGAATATTTTTAGTTTAAGGTTTAAAGATGATGTTATAGCAGTAGTTTTGGGGGTTCATCCAGCCTCCATGACTCCAGAAAGTATGGATTCCTTTGAGGATTTGAAATTCTAATCTACATTTCCCCCCTTTTGATCAGGTTTCTTCTGTAGAATCATAGTTTTTTTTTTAAAACATATTTTAGATATTAAGCCCTTATCAGATATATGATTTCCATATATTATTTTATTTTTTAAATTTCCTCTCATTTCTTAGTTGTCTTTGTACTTTCTTGATACTGTCCTTTGATGCACAAAAGTTTTGCATGTTGATAAAATCCAGTTTATCTATTTTTTCTTTTGTTCATGCTTTTGGTGGTGTAGCTAAGAATATGTTCCCAAGTACAAAGCCCTGAAGATTTATCCCTGTTTTCTTCTAAGAGTTTTGTGGTTTTGGCTCTTACATTTAGGTTGTAGATCCATTTTGCATTTATTTTTGTATATGGTATGAGTTATAAGCCCAGCTTCATTCTTTTGCATGTAGAGATCCAGTTCTCCAGCACCATTTGTTGAAAAGTCTATTCATTTCAGTATAAGACAATAAACTTGACAGCTTTCCTGAAATTGGTTGGCCATAAATGTATGGATTTATCTCTGGACTCTCAGTTCTATTCTATTAGTCTAGATATCTGTCCTTAGACCAGTACCAGACTCTTGATTACTGCAGCTTTGTAATAAGGTTGCTAGGTGCACAATGGTTTGTGCATGACTACTAACCAAAAAAAGGTTGGCAGTTTGAATCCACCCAGTGGCATCATGGGAAAAAAGGCCAGGTGATCTGTTTCTGTTAAGACTGTAACCAAGAATACCCAATGGAGCAGTTTTACTCTGTAATATATGGGGTTGCCAGGAGTTGGAATTAACTCAGTGACAACTAACAACAGCTTTGTAATCGGTTTTGAAATTGGTAAGCATGAGTCTTCTTACTTTGTTCTTCCTTTATAAGATTGCCTTGGCTATCTCGGGCCCCTTACAGTTCCACATGAATTTAAGGATTGGCTTTTTCAATTTTGTAAGGAAGGCTGTTAGGATTTTCATAGGTATTTGACTCTGTGGAAGGAAGACAGGGTAATCTACTTCCGTAAAGATTTACCACCTTGGAATCCCAGTGGGGGGTCGCTATGAGTTGGAATCGATTCGATGGCAGTGGGTTTTTGGTAGATTGCTCTGGGTACAGTTGACATTTTAACATTCTAAGTCTAATCTGTGAACATGGATTGTCCTTCCATTTATTTAGTATCTTATATATTTTTTGTTCATCTTTTATAACCCTACAAATTCTGTCTGTATTGCAGTTACTTTGAACCCTTAGAAGACAAGGAGTCCATCTCTGACCTCTTTTTTCCTCACTCTACACACACTCTGTTTGCTCAGTTCACTTGTGTGGATCTGGAAGGAGGGCATTAAACCTCACAGCCTCTCACCTCTTTCATGTCTGTGCCCCTCAAAAAACCGTGTGTGGTGCGGTGAGTTACTTAATATAGCTGTTCTAGCCATTGCCTTTGTGATTCCCACCAGATGATTGGGTGGAACTATGTAAATGTGAGGTGCTTGTGCCCACCAAGGGGATTGGATAGCTTGTTAATAATGTAAAGTCCGTGACCCCCTGGTGGGGAAGGGACCATGGAAATAAGGTGTATGGAACACTAACGTGGGGACTGATCAGTTCTGACAGTCCTGAGAGTCCACTAGGCTTAAAATGAGCCATCCTAGTGGAAGAAAGGGGGATCTCACTGCCATCAAGAGAGAAGAGCCACGAGTCGAGTGTGTCTTTGGACCCAAGTTCCTTGCACTGAGAAGGCAGAGATGGCAGAGAGACAGCAACAGCAGAGGTGGCAGCATCAAGAGACTGGAATGAGACAGAGCATTGGGCTTCCTGGCCCACAGAGTGAGAAAGCTGAGTGCCTTCAGGCAGGAGGCTTGCTGGTGGAGTGGGGTGCTTCTTTTGGTTCCTATTGGCAAAGCTAAAAGAGTTTTGTAACACTGGTCTGAGCAGGGCAGAAGCCAAGGCCAGAGAGAAATGTGCCTGTGGTATGTCTGAGAAGTTGTCCTGATGGAAGAGCCATATCCTGAGTTGTTTCTGATCCTGAATCATAACCTGTTACTTCCCTAATAAACTTTTAATTGTAAGTATTGTCTGTGAGTTCTGTGTGGCCATTGGAACAAATTATCAAACCCAGTAGAGAGTATAGCAGGAGGGATGGTTAGTGTCAGAATTGGTAAAAAGGGTTAGTGGATGGTGGCATGTCTGGCCCCCACCTTGTAGGAATCACTCTTGGACTAATACTGCTGATGGTGATTCTGACTCCACCTCATGAAGTTAGAGGAGGCCAAATCCTACTACCCCTACAGCCTTTATTAAAAAATAAACAACAAAAAAAAACCAAACCCATTGCTGTTGAGTCGATTCTGACTCATGGTGACCCCCATTGCGTTTCTGAGGTGGTAAATCTTTATGGAAGTAGATTGTCCAGTCTTGCTTCTGTGAACTGGCTGGTAGGTTTGAACCACTAACCTTCTTTTTTTTTTTTTTTTTAATTTTTTAATTGTGATTTGGGTGAAAATTTACAGAGAATATACACTTTCCATACAGCAGATCACATACACTTTGTCTCATGACATTGACCACAATTTAGCACAATGCAACATCTCCTCTCCCACTTCCTCCTAATAGGTACCGTTTCCCTGTGTCCATCCTTCCATGCACTCCTACCCCCTGAGCTGTCTTCCTGTGCCTGAGCAGCCCTTCTTTCTCTCTTGCTTGTTGAACCACTAACCTTCTGGTTAGCAGTCAGATACTTTAGGCACTGTGGTACCAGAGCTCCACACCCTTTATACACCATGGCAATTTCTGAGACACCCCACATTCTTAGTGAAGCTGTTTCTTCTAAAAATCTGCTATATTAATAAGTTTTGGTCATATTATAAATTGGTTGTTTTTTCTCCCAAGCTTGTTAGTTGCCATCAAATCAGTTGTGACTCATGGCATCACATGTGCCATGAGTAGAACTGTGCTCCACAGACCATGTGGAAACAGAGCACCAGGCCCATTTTCCAAGGTGTCTTGGGGTATATTTGAACCACCAACCTTTCAGCTAGTGGTTGAGCACTTAACTGTTTGTGCCACCCAGGGACTATTTTCTTTTAAGCTGGGACTTTTTAATGACTGTTGTTGTTGTTGTTATGTGCTGTTGAGTCAGACCCGACTCATAACAACCCCTCCTTGGGTTTCCGAGGCAGTATCACTACAGAAGTAGATTGCCCAACCTTCCTTCCTTCCGAAGAGTGGCTGGTGGGTTTGAACCTCTAGCCTTTTGGTTAGCAGTCAAGTGCCTTAGGCACTATGCTACCAGAGCTCCCTTTTAATGATTAGGGAGGTTACTTTCATAGCCATTGGAAGTAAGATGACTTACAGATTTCAGAAGGACCATATTTAGTTATTTTAAAATTATTGATGTTGTTCTTTCAGTTTTATTGTAAGCTCCTTACCTGCAACAACTGTTGGCTAAGCATTTTCAGAAGTTATATTTTCACTATTCGATGCTGGTGGCTGGTTCTTTTTCCCAAAGTCTTATGGTCCTTGTTGAACTTGTAGAAGCTAGAAGAGCCTTTTGGAATGGAACTCTGTCTAGTAGAGGCCTCTTTCTTCCCAGCTTAGACAAGGAGGTCAGGCCTATGCCTCTGAACTGGTGGCTGCTGAGGGGTGGAGGAGAGGCAGCATAAGGCTCTTGGCACCTAGGCTCTGGGATTTTTTTTTTTTTTTTTGCTGTGGTCTTAATGACCTCGTTTGCTTCCCTCCAGGCTGTAATGTTGCCTGTGGTAGTTAAGGTTGTGTGTCAGCTTGTCTGGGCCGTGATTTTGATTGACTTGGCAACTGTATGTAGTTACTCGCCATGATGACATTGGGTGTGGTATAGTCACCTCCATGGAGGAATCTGCTGTGAGCAGTGAGATAGTTGAAGAAGAGTTGCCTTTGGGGTGGGGCCTGCTTCCAAAAAATATGGAAGGGATCCTGCATTTGGTTTGCAATTCATTATCTCCAGTTCCTAGACTTGAACCAGTGGCCTCCCGTGTTGCCTGTTGTTGCAATTGTTGCTTTCATAGCCTGTTAGCCAACAATCTGCCATCTTACTGATGATCTTGGATTGGTCAGTCTCTGCAGCCAGCAGCTGTGTGAGTCAGGAGAAGCATCCAGCTTGCTCCTGTGGGCCTGAGAGGCAGAGCTGAAGCCTAAGGTTAGGGGCCTCCACCCGCCCCCTAGAGCTGGCATTCTGTATTCAGACTTCTAGCCTAGTCTTCCCCTAGAGCTGTCACTCAGAATTCAGACTTTCAGCCTCCTAAACTGCAAGAGAATAAGTTAAAGCTTTCTACTTACAGTATTCTTGTTACAGCAGCACTGTAGAAGTAAGACATTGCCCTTCGGCATGTTTTGAGTTTCCTATATTAAAATAAGCACTTGTGTCAGGTAAGTCTTGCAACTCATGAGTAGCACTATGGAGCTGACTTCAAGTATTTTCTCTGCAGAGTGTTCCCACTGCAGTGACTTCATCTACATCAAGAGTTAAATCTGCTTGCCTTTTGACATAGTGCAAGCCCTTTTTTCTCTTGGAGAATGTGTTCTGACTTGGCAGAATCTGGCACTGCCCCCTTGGGAAGCATCCCGGGAGCAGATGCCTAGGGACTGTTTGGGGGAGGAGTAGCAATGTATTCTCTGTTTTGTTTTTAGGACTCCATCCCTGTGTCTACCTCTCTTCTTGGAGACACTTCTGACACAACATCCACTGGCCTGGCTCAGCGCTTAGGTACGTACTGGCACGTGCGCTCATTTCATGTGAGACTAGTCCCATGGGCAACTCTGTGTTTAATGACAGTTGAAGCAAATCACTTAGAAGTAAAGGATTTGTAGTAAGAGAAAAGTCAGTTTGTTGTCTGCCAGTAAGTGCAAATGTGTATGTTAAGTCTTTGTTAGCTGGGCACAGCATGCTCGCCACTATCATCCCATGTGCTGTGGCTATCATCCAACTGATGAGGGACAGATCTATTTACTCCTCCTGTGAGCACATTCATTTCACACTCAGGAATGTCACAGAGCTGAGGGGGAGAGTAGGTGATGCCACAGTGCTCAGCAGGCAGGGGCTCAAGGTAACCTCCCAGACTCTTGCTGTGGAGTCTGGGGAGAAGGTACCACTGCTGGGCAGGAAAAGCTGCCTTTCAGTGTGCTGCTCTTCAGGGCTGGAGTGGAACAGAGATCCTGGCTGATGGGTCAGTATGGAGTGGCCTGGCTGATGGGTCAGTATGGAGTGGGCAGGAAGACAGAGCATGAGAGAGTGAAGGCCCACCCCTTCTCACACTTCTGCACATACCAGACAGCCAAGTGGTGTGTGCCTGCAAACCCCAGCATGAGTGTCCCTGGCCAATGTGACTAGGCAGTCACAACTCCCAGAGATGTTAGCTTGGATGCACCTCTGCTTCCTCCTAGCCCCTTCCTGAGTCCCTAATCAGCTCAGTTCTCATTCAGTGACTGAGCCGTCCACTAATCCTGGTGTGGGAGTATCCAGGGGAATGAGACTAGACCCTCCTTTGGGGAATCTTATGTTATAGGACAACACAGAAATGTCTTATCTATAAGAATAAAGACATCTACTGAGGGCTTGCTTTACGCTAAGCACTGCATTACACACTTCATATGAGTCATTTCTTTAAGTTTTAGCAAGCTTAGGCATCATTTTCTGTTGTTACACCCATGTTACAGATGAGGGCTTGTCAGTACCCAGCATAGGATCTGACATTGAGTGTGTGCTCAACAAATGTTTATCAGTTGGGTAAGTGATAACAAGAGGAAGGAAATGGGTTAGATGACTTGGAAGACCTATGTTTTCACAAGATTCTGGGAAGTGTTCTTATGGAACCAGTAAGTTTTAAACTGAAGTGTTGAATCAGTGGCTTGGGATTTATTCATCAGGCATTTAATACTTGCCTGTAATTGACATTAGTCATCAAGGTTATATCCTTTCACTATACTTACTCAATCTGTATGCTGAGCAAACAGTCCAAGAAGCTGAACTATATGAAGAAAAACTTGTCATCAGGATTGGAGGAAGACTCATTAACAACCTGTGATACGCAGATGATGCAAGCTTGTTTGCTGAAAGTGAAGAGGACTTGAAGCACTTACTGATATAGAGCAAAGACTGCAGTCTTCAGTAAGGATCATACCTCAACATAAAGAAAACAAAAATCCTCACAACTGGACCATTAAGCAACATCATGATAACCAGAGAAAAGATTGAAGTTGTCAAGGATTCATTTTACTTGGATTCACAATTAATGCTCATGGAAGCAACAGTCGAGAACTCTGCTGCAGAAGACTCTTTAAAGTGTTAAAAAGCAAAGATATCACTTTGAAGACTAAGATGTGCCTGACCTAAGCCATAGTGTTTTCATTCTCCTCATAGGCATGCAAAAGCTGGACAAGGAATAAAGAAGACTGAAGAAAAATTGTTGCTGTTAGGTTCTGTTGAGTTGGCTCCTACTCATAGCGACCCTGTGTACAACAGCATGAAACATTGCCTGGGCCTGTGCCAGCCTCACAATGCTTGCTATACCTGAGCCCGTCATTGCAGCCACTGTGTCAGTACATCTCGTTAAAGGCTTTCCCCTTTTTTGTTGACCCTCCACTTTACCAAGTATGTTATCCTTCTTCTGGGAATGATCCCTTCTGACAACAGAACCAAAGTAGGTGAGACAAAGTCTGGCCATTCTTGTTTCCAAGGAGCATTCCAGCTGCACTTCTTTTAGGATATATTTGTTTGTTCTTTTGGCAATCCATGGTACTTCAGTATTCTTCGCCAGCACCACAACTCAAAAGCATCAACTTTTCTTCCGTCTTCCTTTTTCATTGTTACAGCTCTCACATGCATATAAGGTGATTGAAAATACCATGGCTTGGGTTAAGTGCACCTTGGTCTTCAAAGAGACATCTTTGCTCTTCAGCACTTCAAAGGGTCTTTTGCTGCAGATTTTCCCAGTGCAATAGGACGTCTGATTTCTTGACTGCTGCTTCCATTGGTGTTCATTGTGGATCCAAGTAATATGAAATCTTTGACAACTTCAATCTTTTGTCCATTTATTGTGATGCTTCTTATAGGTCCAATTGTAAGGATCTTTCTCATTTTCTTTATGTTGAGCTGTAGTCCATACTTCAGATTGTAGTCTTTAATCTTATCAGTAAATGCTTCAAGTCCCCTTCACTTTCAGCAAGCAAGGTTGTGTCGTCTGCATATAGCAAGTTGTTAGTGAGTCTTGATCCTACATTCTTCTTCATATAGTCCAGCTTCTGGGATTATTTGCTCCACAGATTGAATAAGTATGGTGAAAGGATACAACCCTGACACATTCCCTTCCTGGTTTTTCTTTTTTTAATGCATTTTATTGAAATACAATTTATGTACAGTGAAATAAACAAAACTAAAGTGACATGGGTCAATGCATTTTTTTTTTTTTCTGCAGTGTTCCCTCCGCTCTTCTCCCACCCCTGGCACCAACAAAGAAAGTTTCCTCCCATATATAAACCTTTCCTTGACCCTCCACAACAATGAACTAATACTATATTTGTCCTTCTGTGATTGACTTATTTTACTCAGCATAATGTCCTCCAAATTCATCCATATTATGTGGTGTTTTGCAGACTCTACATTACTCTTCAGTGCTGCATAGCATTCCATTATGTGTATGTACCATAGTTTGGTCATCCACTCTTCTACTATAAATCTTAAGAGATAAGTCCCTTGCCAGATATGTTATTATCAGTAAATATGAATTTGTTGCTGTCATTTTTGTTATGTGCTTTTTCATAGTGTCGATTTCTTTGTTCCATTCAGTTTTTTTTTTGCTGAGCTCATTTTGTTCATGAATCATGTTACCATTTCCTTCAAATAAATATTAAAATATTGTTTTAGTATTTGCTGAATATTTATGCTGGTCCTCTTTTTTATTTTGATGTAAAGGTTTATCATTTTTCTTTGAGGTTACCCTGTGATTTATAATTTTCTTCCCAAGTTCAGAGCAGTCTATTCTATCTTGTAGTTGTCTTAACTTCCGTACCATCTAGAAGTTCTGTAATGACACAGTTTTTTCCCTATTTTTGGTTTGTAGTTGTCCTCATTTGTCAATTGATGTCTCTCGTTCCCCATTTATAATCTTGTAGGCTTTTTTTTACTTAGGATACTTCCATAGCTAAGTTGGTTTCTGGGTTATATCATCATGTATGTTCATGGTCAGTTGTTGGCTGTTGTTGCTTCTCTGTCCAAAGGGCTCCTTTAGCATCTCTTGTAAGGTTGGACTGTTTTTTAACAAATTCCCTTAATTTCTGCTTATCTGGAAATATCCTAATTTCACTATCCTATTTGAGGGACAGTTTTGCTGGTACATAATTCTTGGTTGGAAATTTTTCTCTTTCAGTGTTTTATATGTACCATCCCATTGTTTCTTGCCTGCATGGTTTCTGTTGAGAAATCTGAGCATTGTCTTATTGGTTGCCCCTTGTAGGTAACTTTTCGTTTTTCCTGTGCTGCTCTCATGATTCTTTGTATTTGGTTTTGGTAAGTTTGATGATGATAGGTCTGGGTGATTTACTTTTGGGGTCTATCCTGTTTGGGGTTCATTGGACTTCCTGAATAGATAGATATATTCTCATCTTTATCATACCAAGAAAGTTTTCTTCCAACAAATCTTTGACAATTTTCTCTGTAGTTTTATTTGTCTCATTCTGTTCTGGAATTCTGATGACACGTAGGTTATTCCTTTTGATGGTATCCCACAAGAACCTTAGGCTTTCTTCATTTTGTTTTATCTTTTTTCTGATTGATCCCTTTCCAAAGAAGTGTTCAGGTTTTTGCCTTCAATTTCACTAATTCTGTCTTCCATTGATTCAGTCTGCTCCTTTGTCCATTCAATGTCTTATCTATTTCTGAAAAATTAGTATTAATCTTTTGGATTTCTGTGTGTAGATTTTGTATAATTTCTAATTTTTCATTTACTCTGTCATTTTGTTCTTGTATTGTCTTTTGAAATTGTTCTAGGGTTTTCTCTGTGTTTTCCTTGATCTGTCTCTCAATTCGTTAAGGATACCTAATGCTGCGTCTTCCTCAGGGATGTGTTTGGGGTCTGTATCCTCGTCCCTTGTTTCTCCTGCTTTATCTTGCTTCTTTGTGTGGACTGTGATCTCTATTGTCTCCAAGGCATTGTGACATTTTTGTGTTTATATTTAATTGGTGATTTTATATTGGAGTGACTAGCCCATGATTTTCATTTTCTTTGTTTTGTTTGTATGTTGTCTATGCAAGCAGGGTACTGTGCTCCTCTGTTCACTAGTTGACAGCACTTACATACTCACCACCTGTCACCAGTCTCCGTTCCTGTTGTCAGACTGTTGTTTGTCCCTGCTGACCTTGGCAAACAGAGCCTATTCTTAGGTCCCTGGAATCCGAATGAGAATGCTATCACTTTAAAATCCAAAATAGTTGCCACTTGTGAAGATTCAAAATGGCTGCACCCTCCATCACTTTAAATATCCAAAATGGCCACTGTTTATAAACATTCAAAATGGCTGCACCCTTGGTTACTTTAAATATCCAAAATGGCTGCTGCATGTAAGCAGTCAATATGGCTGCACCCTCCAGACAGCGGAAAGTCAACAGCTCAGGTTTTCTCCTTCCTTGCTGTTTCCCTTCCTAGTCATAGGCCACGAGCACAGTCATCCCAGCAACCCTTGGTGACCAGGGCTGATCTTTAGGTCAATTCTCAGGTCCCAACACTACTTGGAAATATTCAGACTGTTGGTCCCGTCAGAGTAGTTGACAGTCTGCAGCTCCAACTGTCTCTGTACTCACTGTTTTCATTCAGGTTTTTCCACTAGTTGGTGCCTAATCCACTTCTGTATAGTTCCTTTCAAAGCTCAGGGCTCCGGGATTATCTTCTATATCTCTGTCAATTGGTTTTTCTTTTGTTTGTTGAAGAGGGTCTGTGTTGCTTCTCTGCCTATTCCCCCATCTTCTCCCTTCCTGATTTTAAACCATGCAGTATCTCCTTGTTCTGTTTGAATAGCATCTTCCTGGTCTATGTACAGGTTGCTCATGAACACAATTAAGTGTTCTGGAATTCCCATTCATCTTTTGAATTATGGTGCTGATGAAGAATATTGAATATACCAGAAGAATGAACTAATCTGTCTTGGAAAAAGTATAACCAGAATGCTCCTTAGGTGTGAGCATGGAGAGACTTCAATTCGTGTACTTTGGACAGATTATCAGGAGGGATCAGTACCGGGAGAAAGACCTCATGCTTGGTAAAGTAGAGAGTCAGCAAAATAGAGGAAAACCTTCAATGAAATGGATTGACCCAGTGGTTGCAACAGTGGGCTCAAACATAACAAATGATTATGAGGATGATTCAGGACTGGACAGGTTTTTGGTCTGTTGTACATGTAGTTGCTATGAATTGGAACTGACTCATTGGCACCTAACAACAACATCGTTATCAAATGATCTGTCATTTGTCCAAACAGGACACTGGCTAGTGTGTAAGGGGGTGCAGGTCATAAGCTAGGAGAGCAGGTATGGACCAGGACTGTCTTGGATAGGCTAGGATACCTGTTTCCCAGCCTATGAGGAGCTAGACACTGTGCTGGCACTGGAAAAACCCGAACAAATCTTACTGCCTGCTGTAAGGCCCCTGGCCTACTGGAGGAGACAGAAGAGTATTTGTAAGGAGGTGGGGTATGGGCAGTAGTAGGGGTGTCACATGGGCACTAGAAAGGCAGGGAGTGGCCTGGGAGAGCCTTAGAGAGGAGTTCAAGTTGGACTGGTTGAGGGGGTAGGAAGGATGCTCCCAGCTGAGGAATAGCAGGAGTACCCTGAAGCACCAGGGCATGAACATTACTGTGGAAGGAGTCCATTTCTCTTCTTCAAGCTTGAGCATCTGTGGTCCACTATAGAGGTGTCCGAAGTGGGGTTGAAGAAGCTGAGGCTGGAAGTCAGCGCTCAGGTCATGAGTAGGCCTACCCTTCTCTGCCCTCATCTGTCTAGCACAATGTCAGGCTACTCTGTTACTTATAATCCTGTTTGGCTCTAAAGGTCTTAGATCCACTGACTCATACAGCTGAAAAGAGGCCTCTGAGATTCCAAGGTCCTCCCTTCCTCACTTGACAAACAAGGATCTGGGGCCCCAAGAGGTTCCAGGCAGTGATGGGGTCTGAGGGGACTGGCCCTGTGTTGCCTAGCTCAGGCTCTGCTTGCTCCCAGAGCCATGCCACTTCCTTCATGGCAATGGTGATAACAGGAGTGACATGCTGGCTGCATGGTGGGGTTGGGCACAGGTGTATTCCCACAGTGGGGGTGGGACATGATGTGCTGTTGCTGGTGTACCCCAGCTTTACCTCACCACCTTCGATGACGACGGTAATGATGATGGGCCTCAGATGACCAAGACCGTGATCAGCTAATGTCAGGGTGGTGGTGAGAATGGGTGGGCACCTTTCCACAGCTGAATGGGACTTTGCACATCTGCCTTAAGCATAGTGTGAGGCCTGGCAGGAGGGTCCTTGTAGGCTTGTGAGGAGGTCACCTACACACGGCACAGTTGGTGTTTAACTACGTCAGGCTCATTGCCTAATTGACTTAAAAAGCCTGACCTGTCTTTCTGATTCTGGGTGGGGAACTCTGCTTGTTTTTTGCAGTTGGACCAGTATGCCTTACACAGTTATTACTGGTTGTATAGAAAGAGGCTGAAACATACATTTCACTATCAAATTGAAAACACTATTGTTTGTATGTGTATATGCGTGTGTGTGTAAATGCATAGGAATGAAATGGTTATCTCTGGGAGGGGAGTGCCATTGAAGAACTTTAATAATTTTGTTTTAAATGATTTTATGTTTACTGTACATGTTATTCTTACCCATGTTTTTAAAAAGTTAAAAAAATGAAGGCCTCTATGTATAGCAATAGCTCCCAAACTTCAGTGCTTGGGATCATCTGGGGGGGCTTATTAATCCAAACTGCTGGCCTCATTCCCTGAGTTTCTGTGGGGATGAGGAGGGACTGAAAATCTGTAACAAGTTCCTAGATGATGCTGGTGCTGCCCTCCAGGAGCCACACTTTGAGAACCTCTAGAGAGTAGGAGAGGGTCTAAATGATTTTAGTCTGCATTTGCAGCAACTGTCATAAAAATTAGAACATTTCTTCTCTCCCTTAACCAGTTCTCTTTTTTCCAAGCATTTCTTAGTCCAAAGGTAGGTCTGAGACACCAAGAACCTACAGATGTTTCTCACCAGTGTGTCAACGTATTGTCTCTTTTAGCCAGGAAGACCAACAAACAGGTGTTTGTCAGCTATAATCTTCAGAATACAGACAGCAGCTTCGCATTACTTGTAGAAAACAGAATCAAGGAAGAAATGGATGCTTTTCCAGAAAAATTCTAGCTCAGTGGCAGAAGTGAGGATTTGTAATTTATGTATGACATCATTTTTAAATAAATGCATTGAATTTCAGTGTGATGCTCAAGTGATGTGTTTGAATTTTGTGTTTAAAGGATAGTTGTCTTAGTTATCTAGAGCTGCTATAACAGAAATACCAAAAATGGATGGCTTTTACACATATACATTTATTCTCTCACAATTTAGAAGGCTAGAAGTCCAAATTCAAGATGCTGGCTCTAGGGGAAGGTTTTCTTTCTCTGTCAGTTTACAGTTTAGGAGGAAAGCCCTTGTCTTCAGTATCTGTGGACCCAGTGCTCCTTGGAGATCTCCATGTGTCTTGGAATCAATCTTCTCCTGCGTCTAAGAGGTTCTCAGTGCAGGGACCCGTGGTCCAAAGGATGTGCTTTACACTCAGTTCTTCTTTCTTGGTGGTAGAAGTACTCTCTGCTTCTCTCTCATTGTTTCTATTGTGTAAAAAAAGATGCATTCAGGCTGCACCCGAGAGAAATTCTCCTTACATTGGATCAGGGTTGTGACCTGATTAAGAGTGCTGCTTTTCACCTTAATCTTACAACTGATTGGCTGATCACATCAGATCACATTATGGGGAATGATTACTCCATTACATAACTGCCAGTGAGAATCATGGCCCAGCCAAGGCGACACATATTTTTGAGGGGCACAATTCAATCTATGACAGTAGGCTTAGAACTTTCCTTCTCCTCACCAGGGTTTGGGCCAAAGGCTCATATTGATCTGTCTAGGGAAGGAGAAAAGCAGAATGGGCAGTAAACGGTCTTCCATTGAGCACCCAATGATACAAAGGGTTAGGATGAAATTTGTTGGGATCTAAGACGGCTAATGCAGTAGTCTAAGAGAATGTTTACATTAGGCATGGCTGTTAAATTGCATATGCTCCCAGTTAAAATTAAGGCAAAACTTACTTTTAACACATCTGGGACTGGGGGTGGGGCATTGTTTTCCCAAGACCAGTATCAGCCTGTGAATTGAGGCTGTACAAACTCACTGCCATCAAGTCAATTCCAACACATAGTGATCCCCACTGGGTTTCCAAGGCTTAAATCTATGGAAGCACATTGTCTTATCTTTCTTCTGCGGAGCAGCTGGTGGGTTCAGACCACTGACCTTTTTTGGTTAACAACCAAATGCCTTAACCACTACATCACCAGAAGTTTTTTGAGGCTGTCTAAGAACCCCAAAATTTAGGTACTTAGCTTGAGAGACTTCTGCTCAGGGTGCAGGTTGGACTCCCTTTTGTTTGATAAAAACTCCCATTTAGGTTGCTTCTGTTCATCATTAATTTTGTGAGAAGCAGCTCTTAATTATTGTTTTTGGCAAGTGTTTGTAGAAGGACTTAAGTGCTATAGTTTAGATGAAAGAATTATATTTTTTTAGAATTATAAAAAGCAGGCTGTAACAGCAAAGACTGCAATGATTGTTTAAAGAATTCTTCAGAAAAAAAGTTGCAGCCATTTGCAAAAATTAGAGATCATATTAGAAAATAGATTGTAAGTCCTTAACTCAAGATGTCAATTAGTTAGGTGTATATGATGGCATTCTCAAACAGATGCTTGTTGTTATTGTTATGTGCCAGTGAGTCAGACCTGACTCATAGCGACCCCTCCTTGGGTTTCCAGGCGGTATCACTACAGAAGTAGATTGCCCAACCTTCCTTCCGAGGAGTGGCTGGTGGGTTTGAACCGCCAGCCTTCTGGTTAGCAGTCAAGTGCCTTAGCCACTATGCTACCAGAGCTCCTAACAGATGCTTAGCATAATTAAAAAATAACTGCCCTAGGTGTAAATGAAAGCTCTATTGTTGAATTAAAGTTGTTCAGAGTCCTCCTTTCTGCCTTCCTGAGGATAAAGCTGATAATTTAGAGTTGTAATTTGTGAACTGTAACCACTCTCAGTAAACAATAGAGAGGACACGAATATGGTTTGTGAAGAAATGTTTATTAGTATGTATTTGTCAAGATGGTCTCAGAAGAATGCTTGCACAGCAGGCCTCAGGAAGAATGTATATACAGCTTACTAAGTTAACTCCAAGAAATCTATGTTAGAAATAAATCAGCTAACCTTGTAAAGTTTCAGCTTGCTGTTGTCTTATAACCATATGTAATCTTTAGCCCTCATTACTGTCCTCATGTACTCGCCCATTTTTCTGTATATAAAGGCTTGCCTCTCCCTTAGAATGTCAGAGCACTTTGGTGAATCCTAAGTGCTGCCCGATGCAGATCACTCTATTCCTTCAATAAAACTCTGCTTTAATTTTAACAGAGGCTCCAGTCTGACAAGGCTAAACCACTTCCTCAATGCTTCTCTCTGGCACTGCTCTCCTTGGGCCTGGTTTGTGTCCAGCTATGTAGCGTACTCCATTTGTGGCCCTGTTACTCCAAAATGGGAATAACAGTATCCTTCATGCTGGGTTATTGTTAGGGTTAAATATATGGAAATGCTCTGTAAACCTTAATAGCTATGGAAGTTAAGATGCCCATTATGGTTTTGTGTCCTCACTTCTATGGAGCCAAATGCTCCTCCTTGCTCTTCCTGACACCTTTCTGTTGTTTTCCCTTCTCTTTTATTCCTAGTCCCAAACCAGTGCTTTTGGTTATCAATAAATGGATCTCAGTCTTTCTAGTACCATAGGCTGTACATTCTCTTTTACATCCCTAAACCAGCATTTCAGGGATGTTTCCTGATGGAAGTTCATGGAGGAGCTATCACGAACTGCTGGAGGCTTGGCCTTCCACCTGGTTACCATGAGTCTAGGCTGGGTTCTGGGATTTTTGAAAAGCTCCTCTGGTGCTTCTAAGTGTATGCAGGTTGAGAATGTTGGCACAGGACTTCTTCGGGGTATATCTGGGTCCTTTCTGGGACCAGATGTGGGTCAGGGCCCTGTAGTGCATGCCACAGCACAAACCTTGCATTGAGCCATTGGTGACAACAGCCAGGCTAGAGGCACCTCTGGAGTTTGAGAGCAAGTGCCTCTCCTGCAGACTACCAGTGCTGCCTCAAAGGGCATCAGCCAGCATAATCGCATAATCATAACTTAAAAAGCACAGGGATTCTTCTCTAGGAATAATAAGTAACACAAATCAGGGCTATTGAGAGAAGAGTTTGATATAAATACTTTATTAAAGAAATATTTTCTTGTTAAAAAATACTACATTAGAGAAGAGAGTTTTGGGTTATCCGGCTTTCCTTGCAGAAGCACAGCGTAAGATGCTGCCCTGACCTCTCTAGGAACCCTCAGGCTGTGGATCAGCAGAACATAAATAACAAGAAGAGAACAATCTTCCTAAATTTGGTGGTAGCCACGTGTTTCTTGGTGCTTAGAGTATGGCACTGAATAAACAGCTTGTGTTTAATCCAGTCTCTGCCTTTTAAGATGAGGACTCTCCATATAAAGTGAGAGGCACCCACTCTCCCTCTTGGGCCTGGTGTGAAGACTTTCTAGCAGGGTTAAAGCAGTGACGTGGTGAGAGCGGAATCAACATGTAGGGTTTTTATTACTCATAGTCATGGCAGGAAATGTCCTTCACTGGATGCCACCAGATGAGGTAGGGAAGACATTCCAGAGGAAATTGGTTAATGGGGCAACATTTTTATTTCTGTACATTTACAAACAAATTTTCCCCAAGGTACAACAAATGTGACATCATGCAGACATATAGCTTTGCAGACAGTTCTGAACTTGACTGAGGCTTTGTGCTGAGTGAGCCCCATCAGACCCGTTGTGACCACACACACAACAACACAGTTCTCAGGGAAAGCTCGGCAGGAGCTGGGACAGGACGGGGAGGGGAGCGTTCCCTGCTAGATGGAATGCACTACTGCCTTCCGAAAACATCACACACAGTATATTAACATGAGGTTTTGTTCTTTAAAAGGAAAAGAAAGATGAAGGTGAGGTGTGGGACTTCCCGAGCACATGGTGATGGGAGGGTCACAAAATTCATTAATGGCACTTCCAGTCGAGTGATTGCTTATTTGGCTCTAGGAAGTAGTCATGTCTGAGTGTAGTACTTCCTGTAAGAATCTAGTCTTGCTTTCTATTCTGGGGCCAAACCCACTCACCAGCCCCTTCCTCCAGTTGCAGATGATGATGCTCTTAGAAAACAAAACATTTCAAACTTTCCCCTGTTGTCTCTAGTGCTAATATTTAGGGTAGCTGATACAGAAATATTGACATCTGGAAAAGAACAAATGAAGAAAGATTGAGCCCTGTCTCAGTTGTTCACATTTGTGCATTACTTTTATGGAAAGGGGATTGAAGGTCCCTGATGGTTTAGGACACTGGGTGCACAAAAGGGGGTGGGAGGAGGGGTAGCTGGGAGGACAATCTTGGGATGTTTTCCCTGGGGGTAGAAGACTGACTTGAAGTGGCCTGAGAAGGAACCAGGACTGCCAAGCTTCAAGCATAACCATGGTGTGAGCAAGCTCCATGCAGAAGAGGCAGGACCATATGTGGTTTTCCTTTTGTGGCCTCTGCTGTCTCACTTGGTACCAGATTGCATGGGGCTCTACCCTCAGAGGAGCTTTTCTGTTTCGGCTGCATTCAACAAAGGTATTCCTCAAAAGCTGCAGCTATCCCTTAGTGGAACTGGGCAGCAGAACAGCTCAGCCCTGTCTTTGAGGCTGCCCAGATTGGAAAGCTGTAGAGCCTCCTTGCCGACATGCAAACTACCGGACAGTCAGTCAGTCTCAATAAAACGTGCAGATTTGGGTTAAAGGAATATCATTTCCTTCTGTCCCAAGAGCCCATACTCAAACCTAGCTTCTCTCTTTGTCCTTTGATGACCGGGTCCTAACTGCTGAAGTGCTTAGTATGGTCTTCACTGGACAGTTTCTACTGTCACTGTTTGAGATGATGATCAGAGATCTGTGGGCAGAAGTTGTAAGGGCTGTGCCTTGCCACCACCTTCCTAGAAGGCACTGAAAGCTTGCTCCAGTTTCAATGCATTTCTTAAAAAGCTCTGTAT